GGAGATGCACGCGGGCGGGGAGCCGCTGCGCGTCGTGCCGCCGGGCGCGCTGGGCCCGCTGGAGCCGCCCGCGGGGCTGCCGCTGCTGGAGCGCCGCCGCCGCCTGCTGGCCGCGCCCGAGCTGGACGCCGTGCGGCGGCTGCTGATGCACGAGCCGCGCGGGCACCGCGACATGTACGGCGCGCTGCTGGGGCCCAGCGAGCTGCCCGGCGCCGCCGTCGGGGCGCTCTTCGTGCACCAGGAGGGCGCCAGCGCCATGTGCGGCCACGCCGTGCTCTGCCTGGCGCGCTTCGCGCTCGACTCCGGGCTCTGCCCGCCGCCGGCCGCGCCCGGGGAGGCGGCCGTCACCATCCACTGCCCGTGCGGGCCCGTCGCCGCCTTCGCCTCCTGGGACGGGCGGCGCAGCGGCAGCCGCGTCCGCTTCCACAGCGTGCCCGCCTTCGCCGCCGCCGTCGGTAGGAGTGCGCGGGGGGCGCCGGCGGCCGTGCAAAGGGGCCCGCCCAGCCGAGTGCCCTCAGCTGTGTTGGGTTGCAGTTCCCATCATCCCACGCATGCTGGCAGGCACCAGGCTGTGGGCGGTTGTCCCACATGTTGAGCGGGTATGGGCAGCTTCCAATCCTATCCTGATCTGGAACCCACTGGGAGCTGCACCCCTGCAAATAGTTGCCACTGAATTTTGGTGGCCCAGGATAAGCTGAGTTTTCCACAGGATGCAAGAATTGTGGGGCATACGTTTTGATTTAATGCAAAGGCGCCGTCCCAAAAGCCCTGGGAGAACACTGTTGTGCATTCAAAGTGCCCCCTCCCCACATATTTTTCAAAAGGGAAACGAGGTTTTTCCACTGTAATTTGGGGGCAGCAGCAGCTGCATAAATAGAAGGGGCATGTGGGCTATCTATCTCTGAGACTGATTACTTTTTACTTATTACATTTATATCCCACTTTCTTGTAAGGTTCCCAAGGCAGCTTACATAGAGCTTCACCTTTCCATTTTATCCTCTGGACAACTCTGTGAGGTAGATAAGGCTGAGAGTCAGGGACTGGCCCAAGGTCATCCCATGAATTTCATCACTGACTGGAGGCTAGAATCCAGGTTTCCTGAGACCCAGGCCGAAGCGAATCCCTGTGCCATACTCCCTGCCCTGTATAGCTTTGCCAAATGGTCACCCAGGTCCTCGCCTCTCTTAGAAGCAAGCGCCTCCTGGAGGTACCATCCTTTATCCTACTGGGTGCCTTCACAAGACCAGCATGAGCCCGGTTTCACACTAGTCTTGATTCAAGTACACGTACCTCCTGCTTTTACCCACGAGGTGCCTGCTTTGGCTTCTCTTAGGAGTACCAAGCATGCTATGAAGGACCCTGCAAGAGTTTATCTTTCACATGCAGAAAGCCCCAAGAATCTCCAGGCAGGACTAGGAAACAATCTTCTGGAGGCCTCCAGGGCCACTGCCAGCTAGGGCAACAACCCTGGGCGAGATGGCCTAGTAGCCTGACTCCATGCAAGGCAGCATTGCTTCCTGTTGCAGTTACTTCCTCCATTATACACACTGTCACCCTGCTGGTTCTGAAGCATGGATCTATAGTTTGTGTACACTGACTTCCCCCCCACTCCCAGGGCCTTTTCAAACTTAAGCTGCCCTATGGAGTTCTACAAGGCAATCCTTTTCAGAAGCAAACACCACTATTTTCAGAAGGCCTGTAGTGAGTGCTTTGAATTAGAGAAAGTCATTACAGCTTCATCCGCATCCCATATATCTTCTAGCGATTCAGTCTGTCACTTAGTACTAACTATAATTTTTACCTAAAGCAGGTTTCAGTTGTTATGGAGAGCAAAGAGGACAAGACCTCTTAGATGGGGCATTTTGGTTCTCAAGCACAGGAAACGGGTGTATGAGGTCATGAATGTATCTCTGGACCACTTACTACAGGACCCATCACAGACTCAACTAGCTAATAGTAGCTTTCCCTAAGGAATCATGGGAGCTGCAGTTCTGTACAGCGGCTACTCTTTCTGCCCACAGAGTTTGGCTTTTGGGTAGGATAGAAATGCATTAAATAGATGCATACCTATTTTAATTTGTGGCATTTTCACTAAATTTCCAACATTCTTTGGAGGAAGGCACAATAGTTCAACTTCTATAAAATTGACATATGTTTGGTAACCCCCAAACCCATTAACTTAACAGTTGGAGGAATGTGAACTTGCCGTTTGTTGATCTGACTGTGCGTGCCGTAGGATAGATGACGATTACTAAAATAATCAATCCTCTTTTCTGCTATTCCCCAGGCTATCGCTTTTCTGCATCTTGGAAGCAACACCTGCACTGCTTCTCATGTTTCCCCTCCTGAGCTGCTGTACGTTCTTTTATTAAATGCATGTAGATGCCTGTGTTAATCATCCGCTTTGCACTTGGCTGTGATGCATTTTACTAAAATCATCCAATGACTGCGATTTCTGTTGTCCGAAGTTTTCATGTGCGGTGTGGAAAAAACTTCATGTATCTCATAATTTCAACATTGTAAATCAGAATTATAGTATCCTGCTAGTGAATTGAGGTGGTCAATGTTGAAAAGATGGGAGCAAACGTGGGAGGCCTGGGAAACCAGAGGAAGGTTCCAGCTTGCAGGAAGACTTACAAAATGTTTGCAAAATCAAATGGGGGTGGGGGTGGTAGTGGAGGGAGAGCCCCCATAGGCTCCTGAGCATGCTCAGTTCTTGGACTATTTGGAAAGTGAGCAAGGGCAGCTCAGCTTACTCCTGCCATGCAGGAAATGAAGGAGTGAATCTGGTGTCTTGGTAAAGTTTGCTCTGCCCAGGTTTCCCTATGGGTGGGAACACCAGGTGGGAATCCACCTTCAGAGCGGTCCCTCAGGTTCCAAATGGTATCCTATCCTGGCCTGTTGAGTGTCAGTCAGAAAAGAAAAGTTGCCAGACAGGAATACAGGAAGGGACTCCCTGCAGTATTTTGTTGGAGGTCTCGATTTGTGTCCACTAAGTGTCACCAAATTAACTTTGCTCATACGCTTCAGATACTGGCTCCACTCAAGACAAGTTCTGAGTTGAGCATGCCAGTCAGTACTGAGCTATTTGCAATGAAGCACATCTGCAGGTTTTTGTGTCGGAGGAAAACGCTTGGTTTATAGTTCCCAGGCTGCACAGTCTTTAAGTGGATTTATCACTGTGTAGCAAGGCAGCACTTTTGGGGTAGGTGGGCGTAGGTGAATAACCTGCAGTGGTGACACGTCATGTCATTCTGTGCCCTCCCCGCCCCTCATTTTGTTTTACTGTTAGATGTGCCCATCGATGTTCCTGGTTATGGAAAAGTGGTTGTGGATATTGGATATGGTGGCACCTTCTATGCGTTTCTTAGCGCTGACCAGCTGGGGCTTGATGTTTGTTCTTCAAAGATCAGGGATCTGGTCGACGCGGCATCTTCAGTAACTGAAGCCGTTAAGGCTCAGGTACAGTCAGACGTCTTCGTTCTCTGTTATCTAGCCAGATAGATTAATGCACTGCAAGGAAGTGCCCAAGTTAGAAGCCTTTAACTGCTTTACCTGTATATTAACTAGGTTGCTTTTAATAAATGGTTAACATTTTCTCTAGTTTAAAGTTCACCATCCTGACATTGAAGATGTGGCCTTCATTTATGGGACTATACTGACTGATGGAAAAGATGAATTTAGTGATGAACCAACAAGCAACATATGTGTGTTTGCGGATGCACAGGTAGGGAGTCCCGTGCAGGAGAAGTTTTGCCTTGCCTTTTCTCACAGGCTTCCCAAGTGGTATTTGCAGCTGTGATATCCAGTGGGACAAGGCAAGGCCCTTGGATTGTTGGCTCTGTGAAGGGAAAAATGGTTTCTCCTGGCTCTTAAATGAATAAGAAAACTGTCTTGAAGACTAGTTGCAGCTCCCGATCAACGGTATCTTAAGTAAAGGAACAGGGAGTGACAGAAGAAAAAACAGAAGATTCCAGACTGATGGTAACCCAGTTGTGTTTGATTTGGTGATTGTTAAGAAAGTCGTAAAGAAAATTCACTCTTCTGTTGTATAAGTGACCTTCTGTCCACCCGTCCGTCCTTCCCTCCCTCCCTCCCGTCTTCATTCAGTATAGCCTTAATTAAAATCATTTATGATTCTGGGCACGTAGCCCCCCCCCCCGCATCTTTAATACAGAATAACAGCTCAGCAGTTGTGTAGGCACTCAGGTTAGAAGCCATATGATTGCCACCTATTTTATTAGTTCTTTTTCCCATGGGCCTGCTCAAGGTGGCTAATGCTCTCGCATGCCTCAGCACAGAAGAGCAGGAAAAACTGGGCTCTTATGAACGAGGCTTACAGAAAATCGGAGGCTTTGCCATTCCTGCCTCCCTTGTCTTCTGCTGCAGTTCGGATGGCAAATGGGAGACACGGGCTTGGTCCCAGCTCCTGATGGCCAATGAGTTGCTTCTCTTCTTTCATTACTAAAGGATTGGTTGGTGTGCCAATTGTGGGGCTAGCCCAAAGTCCTCTTCCTTTCGTAGAGAAGGGGAGTGTAGCAGAATTTACTCGCTTAAGATACTAACATTTGCATTAGTATGCGTTCTGTGGATTCTTCTGCCACCTGCGGTGAGTTGTGTGATGACACGATTTTCTCATGGCAATCAATGGCATTTTGTTACGAGCAGCTTCAAATTGCACCTGCTAAATCCTCTTAGTACATACCTGTGCTGATAGTCAGCTTCCCAGCATGGATAGTTAGACAAAACCTAGTGGTCGGCACGGGCAGGCACAGAATCGCAGCGAAACATTCACTGCGTCACTGAACACGGCAGCGACAAACGTGGGGTGTATTTTCCTGAACTAGGTTGACCGAAGTCCTACGGGGTCGGGTGTGACGGCTCGCATCGCCTTACAGTATCATAAAGGACAGATTAAGCTGAACCAGACCAGGACCTTCCGAAGCAGCTCAACAGGCTCCTTGTTCACTGGGAAAGCAATCAAGGCAAGTCCCAAACACGTTTCTGTGGGGCCTTCCCCTCAGTGGCGCCTTATGAGCCATGAAAATAGCATAATTGGATCATTTAGGAACAGTTTGCCCAAATTAGGATGCGAAGCACAGGTGGGCAGTTTCATTCTTTCTTGGGTCTGATTAAGGTGAGGACTCGGATCCTTCCAGCAGTATTCACAAATGGGCAGAGCAATCAGTGACCAAAAGGCCTCTGGGAAAAAGAAAACCAGCAAGATGTATTTGGCCCAGGAGGCACCCAAGGCAGGGAGAGGGTGGCAGAGGCACAGGGAGCAATTGCCGCGAAGGCAGTGTGATGAAGTCGAGGTGCGTTTGATGTCTCTCTGCGACGGCACCCTCCCAAGTCCTCGTCCACCTCTTTGTTCACATGAAGGCCCCAGAGCGTGAATAGCATGGCCCCGCCGCTCAACATAAATAGTCTTCCTTTTGCTTTTATATGGGCTGTATATTTAGGATCGTAGAAGCAGTCCAACACTGCATCCCCTTTCCCCCCACAGCTCCCCCAAAAAGCCTTTCTAGAGGGTTGGGGCAACCTACACAAACAGGTCATACACTGGAAGGGTAGAATCACCATATTGGGGAGAGGGATTTTGTGCGTCCCTCGTACAAGCTTCCCAGTTTTGTTGCTTGCTTTCTCCCACAGTAGCCAGTGAAAGGTTTTGCATGCCCACCTGGCCCTTTGGGGGCAGTATATGGGAAGAGAAAGGCCATTGCATGTTGGGTGTTACCCAATGGCAGTCTCGTCTTTTCAGTTCTTAACTTGGTTTTCAATCGCGGGACGCATCATTCCATGCATTTGCCTGGCACCTGCAAAAGGTATGTCCCAATAAATCTGTGAGTGGCTTATGTTTTTTCCAAGTTAACTAGAAGCATTTTCTTTTTTCCCAGGAAACGAAGTGTGGTGACCATGATGCTGTTATAGTAGAAGTCTCAGGAGAGTCCTTTTATACTGGAACATCAACCTTCACTTTTGAAGAGGAGGATCCCCTAAAATATGGCTTCTTTCTCAAGTAACTGGTCTACAGTTCTCCTTCTGTCTTTCTGTTAACTCTGATGAAAAAGATGGATGCTATCTTTATGTTTTTAAACCTGGGTATACCACCTGATTCTTACAGGTAATTCATACAATTTAGAGCATGGGTCCTCCAACTACGGCCCGGGGGCCAGAGCTGGCCCGCCATGCCCATTTATCCGGCCCGGCATGCCCATCTGGAGCCGCCTCACACCGCCCACCTTGCCCCACATGCAGGGAGGTGGCAGTTTGCTCACTCGGAGAAAACAGTCTCCAAGCAAGCAAGCTGCTGCCTCATGCACCCGCCTTGCGGCGCATGCCCGCCCTCGCCTCGCCTCGCCTCGCCTCCCTCGCCATGCTCCTCGCCCCGGCCCAAGCGCGCTGCCAGCACCACCTTTCTGGCCTGTGCCCAGCACCGGCACCTTTCAACTGGCCCCCTGGTTGAAAAGTTTGAGGACCCCTGATTTAGTGTCTCTCGGAATTCTGTAGGTCCTTGTTTCTGCATAACAAGTAATGAGCATAGTGACCGAGGGCGCAGGTGCAGTTTTCTTGAACTCTCTGCCTGCCAGACCCTCACAACGAGGGAGAGATGCTTTGCGGCAGCCCTCAGCCCCTCTGGCTACAGGTTCCAAGTCTCCCTCCAGATGATTTCTAGCAGGACAGGCTTTCTTTGTCCAGCTCTGGGCACCCTCCCACTCCCGATCTTTTCACAATCCCCTTTTCAGTCATGTTCTGTATGGAATTTCCAGTCGCCAGTCAACCTGTTGACCCACCTTGACCAAGCAAAACAAAGGTATCTTTCCCCTTTGGACTCTTCCCTGCTCACAGGCCACTGCAGCCAAAGTAACCACAATTGTTCCATGCTCCATGCACTGCATCAGAGCTGACCTCTGGCTCCTCAGTGATGTTACAGCCTCACAGAGGCCACAGACAGACAGATTTTAAGCAGAACAAAGCATAAACATGTGAAAATGCAGCTTTTCTCTACAACATGTATGGCGCTGCTTTTCACACTTGTGAAAACACTATAAACGCCTGCTCTTGTTGTCATGAGCTGCAGGGTGGTCAAGTTTAACGGGCAGGGCAAGGATGGAGTCTTACAATACCTCCGAGTTCTTTTATTGGGACGAAGAAGGATGGCTCACAATCTCCAGCCTGCTACACAAATACACAGAAACAGAGCGAGTCAGAAGGGTCCTCCTGGGCCATCTAGTCTGACCCCTGGCTCCAGCTGGCTCTGCTCATGATGTGCCCACCATGTGCACGTCCAGCCTGTCTTTGAACACCCGCACCGATGGGACCTCAACCACCTCCCGGGGAAGCCCATTCCACACCCTCGGGGTCCTGACTGTCAGGAAGTGCTTCCTGGCATCTAAATGGAACCCTGGCTCCCTGAGCTTTGCTCTGTCGGAGCGCGTCCTGCCTTCAGCAATACGACTTCAGGGTTTTCAGTAACTAGAACAATCCACTGAGTGACAAGTATAAATACACAAAGCAAAAACTCAAGACAGCGAATTACAGTGCAGTATCACAGTTCAAAGGACAGTGGCCGCCACCTTCACAGTTCTGCAAGTTGCCTCTGTTGGTCTCGGCTGCTGAGCTTTGCTGACTCTCGCAGGTTAAGGCTTGCTCTTTCAGTCTTTGTTCCCTTTTTCACAGTCCTTGGTCTTCTGGGATTATCCTGTTTCCTCCTGAACAAGCCCAGCACTGACAGCTTTCTAAAAACATGCATCCCATTTTTTCCTCCATTCTCTCTTGCCTCACACAAGGTACAGTGTAAGGCCCTCTAGAAACAGTGTTACATACTTCTTCCCTCTCTTCTGATAACATGTTGTCCTGTGAGCCGTCCTGAGGCTATATAGCAAGGGGATGGCATATAAAAACTTTAAATAAGTAAGTAAGTAAGTCGTATGGTGTGTTAGGTCCCCTAGGCCATTAAGAACCATGCAGTACTATGGCCCACCCCATAAGCATCATTTTTGGCAACAAGGCAGGATAAAAATTGCATTTTGGCAGGCTGTGCTGAAAGAGAGGCAAGCAAATGGGTCAGTCCAGTACCTGCTCATTTACCCCCTTCCATAAGAGACATACCTGCTTTGGCCTGTCTGTCCCTGAATTACCCCAGTTCTGAAAACCAGATACAAGTTTGGTAAAGCCCGTCAGACTAATCACTTGGAGGCAGTGCTTACTCATCACAGAAGACCAAGTTGCTACTTGTAGCCTGCAGCTGCGTCTTCCTCTCCTCCACCTCCTGCGCCAGGGTTCATTTGGAGCTCTCTCGTTCATACACTCTCTTGCCAACACCAGTCTTCCCCACCGTACATTTTCTGGCAATCTGCCACTCCCTACCAAATCTTCAATGGATAGGTCTGCAATCCCTATCAAATTCATCCTGTTGCCTGAAATTCTTCTCACCTTGTGGAGTTTTCTGACTCCATCTTCCAGCCCTCATAAACTCCTGTGTCAGATCTATTGAACCTTTTGCATCCCCCTCTGTATCTTTTCCAGCATCGTCTCTCTGATGTCCTCCAACATTTCCTTCAGCTCCTTTCATGTTGGCTCTTCTTCCATCAAGACAGGAATCTCCATCCATCTTCCCATCTATGCAGGATTGTCTTCAAGGCACAATCATGTCTCTGAGGATATGGTTCCACAGGAGCCTTACCTAGCTTTTGATTCCTCAAGAGGTCTTAGTGCTTCCCCTGCACTTAAAATCCAAGAAAAGTGTTCCTCCATAACCCTAGAAGAGTATTTTTCACTCTTGCAGTCTCTTCTTTTCATCATGCCACTGCCTTCCCTCATCTTCCTCTGCAGTGACTTTAGTTCACTCAGTTGCTTTCTCTTGTCTTCTGTTCATCTACTTCTTTCTTCCTTGGTCTTCTCTGATTCTCCTTCAATCATTTTGCTCCTCTGCCTGTCCAGCAAGAAGAGTCTTTTTTCAAAAACTGCTCTGCTTCCTCCTGCTTTATGCAGCTTGCATTCCAAGGTCCATTGCGGCAGACTTCACTCACTCCCATAAGCCCTCTCTCCTTATGGCCCGAGATAAACAACCTCTTCAGTTATGTGGGCAGTGGACACTAAATATGCTCCTTGTCCACGGTAGCCTCAGCCCTTGAGAAATCTCCTCCAACTTACAGCACCCCTATGAAGGAAAGCTCCACACAATGTCGTATCCAGGACAGCCCTGCTCAGCTCTTGCAGATTCCAGGCTCTGGCTTCCTTGATGGAGTCCGTCCAGCTCACAGCTGGTCTTTTTTTCCTCTTCTGTGTTCGACTCTCCCTAGCATGAACATCTTCGCCAGGGAGGCTCAGCTTCTCATGACGCTTCCAAAGTATGGCAGCTTCAGGTTTGCCAGTTTTGTAGCAGAATTATGCTGAAGATCACGAGGGCCCTGTTCAAAGTTGCAGAATGTGTTTATGAACTGACTCTTGCCCAGTCCTTTTGCCTCTTGCCTAGGTACGTACACATCCAGGCCCAGAACTGACATGCACGCTGAGCCCAAAATGAGATGTGGCAGCACAGAGAGCCACTGGGCCTTGTCCTGATTTTTTTATTTAATTGGCCTTTCGGGCCATCTAGGCAAGCACCGGGGGAGAGAAAAGGAGCCCAGGCACCAGCAGAAACCCATAGATATCCTCAGACCTGGCTTCCTCCCTCCCCCACCTCCCAGCATGCTCCTTTTCTCCCCTCCATGTTGAGGGAGGGCAGGGGGCTCAGCGTTCAGTCCCAGCTCTAACTGCAGGATCGCAGACTCTGAATAATCCTGCACCCTTTGCCTCATCGAAGCCAATGCTGGGAGACTCTAGGATTGTGCCCTAAGCATCTTTGTGGTTCTTAGTTCCACTTTGCGCTTATTTTTTAAATACTTGGCCCTCAAGTCCGCTTTGGACTTTCTCCTCTTTGTGTGAAGTCCCAGGAATACTAACAATTAAAACAGATTTCTTGTAATAAACTGATTAAATGTGTAATTCTGATAGCGCACAGTGGTTTGACCCAAAATAACAAAGTATGTAGAACTTATGGGGAAAGCTTCATGCTATGATTTTGTCTTAAGGACACACCCGGGGAGGGGAAAAAATCTTACCATTGTCCAGAATATGACACTTTTATTCTGCCACCAAGCCATACAATTAATCAGGAAACTTGTAACAGAAAGAAAAGTTTATAAAGCTTGGATGGTGGAAAATACTGGACTCTGATCATAAATCCTTAGGAAACGCGAGAAGAAAACAAGACTGTGAGGATAAAATGCGGAGGGTGGTGGTGTGTGCTGCAGGGGGAAAACGGAAGGATGCAGTGCCGGTGGTGACAGCACATTGCATCCACTAGACGTGGGATGGGAAAGGCACCTTAGGCCGGCCTGCAGTGTCTGCTTTGCTCTTCAGGGCACGCAAGGGTGGGCACCGCTTCTCCCTCACCTGCTCCCCTGGGGCCCGAGGCATGAAGTGACTGGGTGCACACCTGCCCCCGAGCCAAGCCGCCCTCCTCCAGATTGGCACCTTCAGGCACTTTCCCTAATGTGGGTATTGCATGCTTCCCGCCTGTGATCTCTGCATGGCAAAACTGAAGGTGCCACTGGCTGGTGAAGGGGCCTCTGGTAAGAGCGCTTTGGGGAAGGATCCTCACAGAAATCCGACAAGGCCCAGCACCTCTTGAGTCCGGCTTAGCTGGGTGGGGAGTCCTGGGCATTGTAGGACGACCTTCTGTCGGAAGACGCATTTTCGAGCGGGCCCGGAGCAAGTAACATTTGGAACTTGCTCGCACATGCCGGCAACTCCGACCTCGGTGTGCTCGCCCCTCGGCTCTGTCACCCTTTCCCACGTTTCCGCCTTCCATCGCGCGTCCCGGCAGGAGGCAGACGCTTGCGAGATGCCGCAGCGACGGGGGCGCCTGTGCATCCCCGCCCGCCGTGCAAATGCCGAGCTCGGCTCCGACCGCGAGCGGGGGCGGCCGGTGCGCGCCTCGGGAAGAGCAGCCGGAAGAGGGGCTGCGAGGCGGCGGGAGTCGCCGCGGCGGCTCCGGTCTCTCCCGCGTGCGCAATGGGACGTGGTTTCCCGGGGCAACCGGCAGCACAGACGTCAGCGGCTCGTTTGAGCCCCCGAAGGTCTCCGGAGCGGAGAGGGGCGCGGGAGGGAGGCTCCCGGGAACGGCTCGGCTCGAGCCGGGCGGAGAAGCAAGGGCAGGAGCGACGGCGGAGCTGCTCCTGCGCGGCGGCGGAGGCCTCGCCCCCATGGCGCCCCGCTCCGCGCCCAGCCGCCGGAGCCGCGCTCAGCAGCGGGGCGGGGGCGCGTCCGCGGCCAGAGGGCATGGGCGGCGGCCCGGCCGTCCCCGCTGAGCCCGCGCCCCGCTCGGAGCCGCCCTCGCCCGGGGCGCGCCATCGAGGCCCGTCCCCGCCGCCGCTGCCCGGAATGCGCCCCCCGCCCGCCCCCCGCACGGACGGCGGC